TCAATGATCATCAAGAATGGGATATTGATGATATACGATAAGATTGGTATGTGGACTGCATCATACTTTTAGAAAGTATAGTTGATCTCACGACTATGAGTTCCTGTAATTCATGATGGTCACATAGATATTTTAGAGAATATTGGCATACCCACCGAGAAACCATTTGATAAGTTCTATTCATGTGTCTATGGGATTATCGGCGTATAGAGTAGTGTAATAGTCCTCCGACTTGAGGTCAATACGTACTACATGTGCGGAGTGATGTACTTTGACCATGACCAACGCTTGCACTCCAATCGGGGTAGATACGGCATGTGTTGGGTGCATCACGAAGCACATGGAGTAGTAGTTGAGCCAAGAAAGGATTCATTCCTCATAATAGATTAAGAGAGAACATTCTACTTCTCATATCTAGATGGATCATAAAGTCATTGGCCAATGCAGAGATATATTCGTTTTGGATATCGAATATGATCGTTATGGATCATCTAGAAAGATTGAGAGACAGAGACTGAGTTATTGGGATAGACACTATATCATATTCTAGACTTAGTTGAATGTTCGCTGAATGAAAGAACCGTATCACTATGAGCTCTATATTACAGGGAATTTGTATAGTCCTCGCAAACGTCCTTATATATTAAGTTTGTCTGGAGAATCGTCTAGGGATTCGCTAAGACCTTAATTTGATTAGTGCTTAATATATAAGGCCCTATGGGTCACACAACAAGTGATTATACCTTCCGATTGAATTGTTAGAAGGAATTAAATATTATTGATTGGATTAAATAATATTTAATTCGTAATACTGAAAATGAATTAAATATTAATTAGATTAAACATATTTAATTCATGAAGCTGAAGGAGAGTTCTATTTGATAGAATTAATTAAGTAAGATAAATTAGATTTATCATACTTAAATAAGATGTATTTATTATTAAATAAAGTAGATATTTTCTTTTGTAATTTGGAATTAAAAGAAAAGTAAATAAAATAAATATTAATATATAATAATTAGAAAGTGGCGTGCAGCCACATCTCAATTATTATTATTATTTTGTTTTGTTTTATCTACTTATTTAATTAATTAGGAGTATTGGTCCTAGTAGGATTAGAACTCATTAATTAGAAAGACTTTCATTGTGATTGGGAGACTAGTTTCGAACTAGTAAAAATACATCTTTCTCCTTCATAATTTGCAGACCAGTTTTCAGATTCAGTATTACCAGTTTATTTCCCTGCGAAGAGATTTCCTAGCCTTTCTCTTAGGGAGATCTAACCGTTCTTTCGGAAAGGAGAAATCACGTGGATACCAAAGGTCAAGGAATATCACCGCTAGGCTGGAAGATCTGTAAGTTCTAACTCAGATCTGTCATTATTATCATATTCGTTATTTTGTCATAATCAGGGAAGATCTGTTTGGGAAAATTTTAAACTTCCGCTGCCGTACTTTCGATGTACGTTACATTAATTTCCTAACAGTTCGTGCTTCTTCTCTTTCCTGTTTTCAAAACAATTATAACAATGCTCATGGATATTATTTTTGAATAACTATTTGGGGGCTTGTATGCCCATGTTTGCCAAAGTGTGGCTAAGACATCTTTATTAAATGCTTCCGCTGTTTTAAATGAATGATTTACATTATGCTTGTTTATGGATGTACTATGTGTGAATGGTATTCATGACGCCTTGTATAGTATCGATGAGTTGGACTGTGGTTGACTATTCGTACTGTACGGCGGGTTGTTGACGTGTCCGGCTAGGTCCGGGGCGTGACACAGATTGAGCAGGCTACGTTAGTGTTGACGCAATCGTCGTCTTCCGCTGGACGGTGCGTGCATCACGTATATTGGGTATTCATTTCCTATCAATGCATGGGTGGCGCTTGCGGTGGGTTTTGTTGGCCGGTTGGTCGCTGTGAAATACATGATTGCTTCTCCTGACGAAATGAATCCAATGGTGTAAAGGGATTTCAATATATTTCCGAGCAAAACGTAACAACACGATTTTTCATATAATAGTATTTTTCTGAAAAATCTAACGAAAATATCATAAGCTCAACCAAGCTCTGATAAGCTCAACCTAGCTAATATCAAAAGCTCGACCAAGCTCAACCGAGCTCTAGGGAAAATACTTCTATTACTTTCAAAAATAGAAAGAAGAGACATAGAAGCTCTAACTAAAAAGTCTAAAACACATCTCACATATGAGTGACATGTCTATGATGATCTTATATATTTCTACCTCTGTCCCATTTTATGTGTTTCTTTTGATTTGACACAATTAATAATAAAGTGGTTGAAAAGGTGAAATTATGATTGAGAGTTGAGTAAAGTAAAATGTTGTGAATCACATATTTCTTTTCAAAAAAAGAAACGTGACCCTTATTTTAGAATAACCCAAAAAAGTAAGACATATAAAATGGGAAGTACCTCACCACTTGAGGCGTTGAGTTGGGTAAATGGTGCGGGTTTATAGACGATAGGAAATAGGAGATTCATCATTCATAGTTATAGACGATATTATAGCTATTTCTCCTATATTTGAAAGTTTACTTTCTTCGATGTCAAGTAGTCTTTGAATTGAACTGTATTGTTCTTGATCTTGCTAGAACAACTGCTTCTATGTGTGACTATTGTCTTGGTAATTTGAGCCTCCATCATTAGTTTTCTACTCCTTAAACTTGGATTTGATTAATGTAAAACGATTACCTTTGTCATCGGCATTTTACTCTAACAATAATTATGAGCTCCACTACCATTGTTTCTTTAACTGAGAATTGTTGACTTTGTTTAAAAAGTAAAGGATGAAGTCGTGAAATTATTTTCCCGTGTTTAACATGGAGTAAAGGAATAATTTAAATTCAAATTGTAGTCCTAATTGTATTGATGGAAAGGAATTTGTCAATTTGTCACATCATTCTTACACATTAAAAAGGAATATAGGATAAAAATATTGAAGATTGTAAAAAATCTGAGGAAAATGTTTAGTCCTAGAGATTGTTTAGCTTGACTCTTATGTAGTGAATGAAAATGTTTTACTCATATTAAGTTTTAACCAAATCATACGACCGAACTGTACGCTAATTAATTTTTTTTTATAATCCAGGTGTCGGGGCTTACGTTCTCATAATCCTGGAGTCTATGAACTACCCTCCACAGCCCCTAGACAGTTAAATCCAGATCTGATCACAGTCAGACTCGTCAGTACTGGCTCCAAAGGACGAATCCAGCAGGACTTACATCACCTTTCAGGCTGCTCCTCCTACCACATGAACCCGCTACCTTCATTACCATCCTATCCCTTCTCAGCCGTTGAGCAACTCCGTGAAGATAGGAAGAATCATTGGGAGCAAGACCTCCCTCATCTCCCCTTGGTGGGAATTGAACCCAAGACCTCCCACAAAGGAGAGACTTGGGGGTGGATGATCATCCATTGGACTACACCCACCTCCCAAACTGTACGCTAATTCATATCATACCAGTTGAAAGCACTTTAAATACTCCGTAATAAATGGGTTATATTTTAAAAAATGTCATCTACTCGAAACATTAGTTTGATTTTTTCACAGTGATACTAAGAGATTTTTAAAAATAGTAATTATCCTAAATAGGATTAAATGGAAATATAATTGCACAAATAGGACTAAATTCTAAATTTAATTAGTCTTCTAATAGAACTAAACATTAATTTTCTATCCTTAATACTTCCAATCAAATTAATTAATTGCCCTCTAGGTCCCTTGGAGAATCGGGACATTTCATTGGTGGCGGAGTAGTCCAGTGGTGGCAGTGGCGGAGACCGACGACAGCAGAAGGTCTGGGGAGAAAAAAATATCTGGATCTTTTTTGCCCTGTTAAAGCTCCAACGGCGATCAGAATCTTAGTGGTGGCCGGAATCTGGCCGACGCCCGACAGCGGCTGGAGTCTGGCGGTGGTAGGTGGCTCGGGCAAGTGGTGGCAGGGCATTTTTATTCAATCACAAAAAGTCCTATTTTGATAACTTTAAAATTACTATTCGATCTTATTTGTGATTTCTAGCCATCTTTTAGTCCTACATAGATAATTCACCCTTTCAATAAAGTAGGATAGTTTAAGGGTAATTCTAAATGCAGCCACACAACCGCTATTCACAGACCCTAATCAAAATTAATTGATTAAATATAAAATGAATGTCTATTGTATCCCTATACTATGCCACTATTCATCAACCATGTTGATTCAGCAGCATCTCAATGGATGGAGATGCTCTCCCCCACTTCGCCGGAGATATCTAAAATTCCACTTGCTCTGTTACACATTTTTGTCTCAATTATTGGATGAGCAATTGTTAGTTTTGATTTATTTAAAACCCAATTGAAATGTGCACCAAACAGAAATTCCCTTGGGGTGTTTAGTCGAAGAAGGTGTAAAGGGTTTCCAATTATCCAAACACATCTAACAATTAAAATATCAAAATATCAAAATATCAAAATATAAGGATACAGGTACGGCACGTAAATGTTAGAATAAAAATTAATATCTTACCAATAATTAAAATTCTAATAAGTAAACTTTTACTAATAAGTAAAAGATTAAAAAAATAAACCCAATTTTTATCATTCTTAGTACATTCTAGATGCATAATAAATAAGGAGTCATCGATTGCTAATAAATCTGAACCAGAGAAGTGGAGAGTAGACTACGGAAGTGCAGATACGAGACTACGAATCTCTTCCGCGTCTGGCCGTTTGTTGCAAGTCCAGACTCCCAGGCGGACTGACTACGCTGTTGCCAACTGTGGGAGATCGCTAAGCTCTTGCCGTCTTGCCGTCGTTGCAATCGACTAACAACATATAAGTTGTTTGTCGATTCACCGGTGCCAGGCATTCGTTCAGTTTCAGCACAGTTAGTCGATAGCTTATGTGCGGCAGACTGAGGGATTTCTTTTAAAACGCAGAAACGTGTCACAACAGATTTAATATAGAGATAATTACCCATATAGGAGTAAAACATAAAAATTATGCAATAATAGGAGTCAAGCTTCCCGTGAAGTTTAGTAGGAGTAAAAAAGGGATGGCCTGACATAAATACCCTTAATAAAATCTCAAGCTCCATTGTTTATTAATAATTTAAATAAAAGCATTAAAAACAAACATTACAGCAACCAGACAACAACATAACCCTAGGGCTGATGACCACCTTCTTCGCTGCCGCCGCCGCCTCCACCGGTCACTTCATCTACCGCCACCGTCGGTCACGTCATCTACTGCCGCCGCCAGTCACGTCGTCTACCGCCGCCGCCGGTCACGTCATCTAAGCTAGCCACCGCCTCCACAGTGCCACCGCCTCCACGGTGCCGTTCGCCTCCATGGCGTCGCCGCTACCCCCACAGGCGCCGCCGGTGGCCTCATCCACAACCTATCACGACAAATCTCAGATCTGATCTCTTATTTGGCATGCTATCATGGAAATGCTATCTTGCAGTTGAAGTGTCATCTTAATAACATCATTGTCATCCTGATATGATAAAAAAGCATTTTTCAAATTGAAAAACATGACAATATTGTACTTCCAAAGAAATAGTATATTGCCATCTTTGTACCGTTAGTGCCATAAAGATGACAATAAGTGTCAAGATAATACTTTCACATACTGTATTTCCAAAGAAATAGTATATTGCCATGTTTGTATCATTAGTGCCATAAAGATGGCAATAAATGTAGAGATAATACTTTCACATAGAAAAACATGGCACTATTAGTATTGTATTTCCAAAGGGAAAATATTTTCATTAATGCCCTAAAATTACCTTAAAATAGTGATAATGATAATTTGTGGTTAAATAATATAAGTAATTTGAAGAGTTACAAAAGAGTTTTCAAAAAGAATTTTTTCAAAATGGAAATAGAAATCAAGCAAAGCACCATCTTAATTCAAAAAGTTTCTAGCCCCCAACTTCATATTCATATTTTCAACTGTAAATAAAAAATTCAGTTTTTCAAAATGAAAGTCTCTGTCACAGAGCAAAGGAAAACAAGGTGAAGAGGAAGGGAAAGAAGAAGAAGAAAAAGAAGAAGAAGAAATTAATGCTTACCTACACAATCGCCGCTCGCCGCCCACCGGTACGACAGTCGGAGTTGAGAAGTAAAAATCGCCGTCAAAACTTTGTAATTCACCGGAGATAGAGTAATTGTTGGATCCGTCGGAAATTTTGGGGGAGAAAATATGATGGATGATGAGCTGCAGGGAGAGAGAGAAGGGAGATGCAAAGAGATATGCGTATGTGATGGAGATGCACGCAGGAGAAGAGATAAGAATGAGGAGAGAGGTGAAAAGAAGTGGCTGGGAGAGCATATGCCTGATATGGAAGATTAAAAAATCAGGAGGGTAATATAGGGATAAAATAAAAGAAACTCCTATTTTGGGAATAAAAAAATATAAGGTCCTATTCTTGCATTATTCTTATATTTTAGTCCTATTCAGATCAAATACTTATTTAAAACGTATCTGAAACGTTTCCGGCATCAGGCCCAATACCCCAACCCGCCATATTAGTTTCCTACTGTTTCCATCTCGTTTCCGGCTGTTTCCGCAAGTTTCCCGTTTCCGAAACGTTTCCTAAACGGAAACGTGGAGGTCCATGGTGTTTTCATGCTTCCTAGCCAACCACTGCTCCACAAAGCAACCGAGAGCATGAATTTAGCAAACCAAAAGCAGTTCCCGTGTGATATCCAAGTCAAGACCCGATGAAAGTAGCTTAGCTCCATCAGTAACCTTGCCACCGCCATAGCCGTCACCACCACTACCATAACTTCGGTCACATCCACCTCCCGACTCCTGACCTCCATAACCTATCCGGCTCTCCCACCACCTTTTGCGGTGACCAACCTTTTGATCACTGCTACCGCCTGACGTCCACTCCGTAGCCTCCACCTCCTCTACGAGATTGGCTCGTTTAAGGAGTTTATGCCCAGCCATGGAAGACATGGAATATAGATACATTTGGGTCTTGCTTTACCAGTAGAAAAGAAATAGTGTTAGGAAGGGTGAGTTTGTAAACTTGATCGTATGTTTGAAACGAATTAAAAAAAGAGGTTGCGTTTAGGCTAACCGCAATCCAGCTTTGTCAATACATCAAATTCCTCATCACTTATATGTATTCATTCAATCAATCCAATTTTTATTGCAATCCAATCCCGTCAATGTATTTACCCAACAATTTTTTAATTTAAAATCTTACTTTTTAATATCGATTTTTTTTTTCAATTTCTTTCTTTTGTGAATATTTATGATTTAAAAAGTCAAGCATTTCAATGTAAAAATACATAAATTTGGGATTTAAGTTTTTAAATTTCACTTCAAACCTACTTTAGAAAAAATAAGGGTAAGATGCAAAACAGAATTTTAATCATGGAATCTTAATTTTTTAGCATTTGAATCTATTTAAGAAAACAATTGTGTCTGAAAAACTCAACCAATTGAAACTTCATTTTGTATTTATTTATTTTTTATACGTAATATTGATATCATAAAAAATTATGAAATTTGATATATTTTTTATAAAATTCGGAGTATAAATAAAAAAGTTATTATCGTTCAAAAAATGAGGATTTAAATTTTAGGCTTGTGTATATTACTTCCTACGGCCAATCAACAGCTGTTGTTTTCCTTGATTTGGTTCGTGCAGCGTGCACAATCAAGGCCAGAGTGAATACCTCAATGGATTTTGAAGTGAATAGCTCAAATTCAACGCTGGATTGCGGGTAGCCTTTGAAAACAGGGTTATGTTTATAATTTCCCGTTGTTTAAACAGAGAATTATTCCGTTGTTTATATGTAAATCTTTTGTAATGAAAAGGATTCAAAAGTTCATTTATGGAATCTTATAGTGAGTGGAATTTACCCAAACGAAAAGAAAACATCACTAATGAGGTCAACAGACACAATTTGAATTATATTTCTCATTTACATATATCGGAAACATATACCAAAAAGTAATGTAATTATATTTTGATATAATCAACATACAATATACTGTATATATTGTACTAAGTATGGTTATTAGATGTTTATCCTTAATATAATAGAATGTATGGATAACAAATCACTATAAATATAATGCATCCGCATATCAATATATCATCACGATCAAAATTAGATTTAAGATTATAATTAGGAGTGATTCAATGGATTGCATCTCACACTTAAATCCTCTTTATGTGAGAGACCTCGACTTTAAGTCGTTAATTAACTAATGAAGCGAATTTAGGAGCGTTTTATCAAAACAATTTACACTAGCCCTGATGTGTATTGTCTTGAAGCACTCTCATTCCCATCCTCACATTAAGGAGTGCTCTCATTCAAATCAAACTTTATATATATATGGAGTTTGTAATACATATATAGTAGATGTTTGAATTATTACAATTAGGTAATGTTAAAAAAAACTCTAAAAGCTTTTAGTTATGTGTGGTATTCCTCTTTTATATTAGGAATTATTTTTAATTATTTAAGATTTCTTTTAGCGAAAATTAAAGGGTTATTTAGGCTTTGCACCCTCTTTTATACCCCTAATTTGCCTATGCACCCTAGTTTTAAAATTCTTAGTATTTAGGATGTTTTTACTTCGACTGTTTTAAAATTTATCTTATAATAAGCTATTCTTATTATACTTGAATCTTGACCGTATTTTGCTTTAAAAATTGATCCGACCTGCACATTTATTAAATCAAAGACTAACATCCTTTCAAAAAAACAGCGAAGGCTAACATTAGTGATTATCTTGACTAAATAAATATGTAACAACGAAAATAAAAATACCCAGAGATAATCCGGCCATTCAGAAAAAGAAAATGCTGTATGTAATGATTTGGTCACTTTTGAATTTAGTCTTGCAAATCAACTTTTTGATGTATAAATCTCCAAATTTTAATACCCTCCTTCGTATCCTCATCATCATATGTATGTATTTTCCTTGTGATCTGTAAGGAGCTACCCGGCCATACTCCATTGATTTAAATGACGGCCCCTCTTAAAGCAAACGGACATGGGGTTATGAAGTTTCTTCCAGCTTCAAAATTGCCCTTTCTGCTCATTACCATTTTAGCTATGCTTTCGACCTTTGTTTCCCATGGAGAAGGTACTATTTTTATATGTCCACTACCCTTTTCAACTACATACGATCATTAATTTTCAAGAATTTTTCACTTCTACTACAATTTTCTCATATTATCTGTCATCTAATCTAGTTTAGTTTGATATGACTTCATCTTATATTATACAGATCGAGTATATATTTTAGTACCGACAAAGATATGATATTTTTAGGGTATCATAGAATCCTACCTAAGGGGGTTTTTACGGTATAAAATTAGAAGAATCAGAAGCTGTTTTGTAGAAGCTGCTACTCTCCAGATTCTAAAAATCTGATTTTTCAGCCATTTAAAATCACTTTTAAAATCAGATCCAAACATCTTCAAAACTGATTCTGCTTCAAAGTGCTCCTTGGGACAGCAGAATCAGTTTCTAAAAGCGGTTCCAAACAACCCCTAAATATATCTTATTAGGATCAAATGAAAACATTCAAAATCTAATGTGTCACAACAATAGGATCAATGGACAATGGCTACAGAAGATGTATTTTGTATCGGCCTATCGGGCTCAAATTTATTTAGAATTTGGTAGAAGTATTACACCATGTTCCAAGAGTTCCTTACTTTATACAGAAATCAAAAGGATTGATTTTTGTTATGATTTTTGGTTCTAAATCTTTGCCTTGACCCCGTTGAATTAAATTAATTAATAAATTATATTCAATTGAGTATTTTATATTCATTGTTTACAGAATTATAAGGTCTTACAGCGGTCGTGGGGCATGGGCAAAAGGCATGCGCCCAGGGCCCATTGCTCCCGTAGGGTCCACAAATTTTCCAATTATATATGGGGAATATTTTGGTTAGAACCGCCGTAAGGCCAATCCCTTTCGAGAACCTTTTGGGTTGATTTTTTAGATGAAATTTTGTAAACACGTTATTCGTGAAATATAAAACATTCACATAAAACTTCATCAAAAAATTCAATTGGGAGTCAATTAAATAAATTAATTCAAAAACGTTGTGCAACCATATGCATAAAAGTCGCAGCATTTTTCAAAAATTTATTTAACTGATTTTCAAATTGAATTTTAAGCTGAAGTTTTGAGCGAATGTGCTAAACTTAATGACGAACATGTTCACAAAATTTCATCAAAAAATGTAACTCGGGAAGCCCTCAAACGGGTTTGGCCGCAAAGCGGTTCTGGTAAGTCCGAACTAACTAGGATTTTATTATATATATATATATATATATATATATATATATATATATATATATATATATATATATATATATATATATATATAGGGGTGACATCACATACAAACCATGCTTAACTTACTAACCTACAAACTCAATAATATGCAACACTTTGAAGTTCAGTATGCAGTACAAATAATGTAAAGATGCACTCTTTGATTTTCAATATGCAATACAAATAATATAAATATGAAACAGCTATTTTATGGCTTGAATAATATGAAACACTTTGAACTTCAATGTGCAATACAAATAATGTAAAGATGATTTGAATGGAAGGACTAGTTTGTATGTGATCACACTCATGCATCTTTACATTATTTTTATTGCATATTGAAGTTTAAAGTGATGCATATTATTGAGTTTGTAGGCTAGTATTTTAAGCATGGTTTGTATTTGATCTCTTATCTATATATATATATATATGTGTGTGTGTGTGTGTGTTTGTATTTTAATATATAAATATTTAAAAATAAAATCAAACTTAAACTTTTTTCATTACGTTCAATTTTTTATTCAATATCTACAAACTACAATTCTAAAATTTTGAAACATCTATACCAGAATTGTATGTGAACAAATTTCACACTTTCTTTTGATTCATTAAGTGTACGTTAGCGCATAAATGTCAATATTTTCATCTACTTCTCTCATGTAAACTAATGATTCATTGATAATATTTTGCTCATTTTTCTGTTCTTTCGTGTAAGTGAAAGATTAAATTAGCGTACCAAGGATTTAGAAACTTGCAATTTGGTTTAGTCTAGTGAAAATGTGAGTCAAAATATGAAAATCTTATTCCATAAACAACATAACTTTCACGTCTTTCCCCAATTTAAAATTATGTACTATTAACAATCATTCTACTTTTCCATTGAGCCGTTTTGGTGCATGATATTCTCGAATGTCAATTATCAAATACTTAAGAGAATAGGGTTAGATAGGGCCTCGAACTTACAAAAAATGTCAAATAAGGCCTTATATAGGAGGTTCTGTCTAGCCGACGCCATTTGGGGCGTTTCTCGGTGGATTTTTTCGATGAAATTTTGTAAGAATCTTATTCATTAAGTCTAGTTTACTCATACCAAATTTCAGCTAAAACTTCAATTCAGAAGACATTCAAATAAATTCTTGAAGATAACAGACTCCAGGAGAGAAATGAGAACGAATCTGGACCGTTGGATTGTATTATGTGGAACTGGATTGTGCATATGGTGAAACTGAAATGTGCATTGGTTTATATTGAAATGTGTAGAATAAAAATTTAAACTCAAGTGTGCATGAGGTGAAATTGAAATGTGCGGAATAAAAAATACAAAAATAATATCACATCGTACCTTTTATTCTGCACATTTCAGTTTCATCTAATCCACATTTCAATTTCATCTAATGCACAATTCAGCTTCACATAATGTCACTGTATCGTATCATTTGTGCTGCACATTTCAATTTCACCTAATACACATAACAGTTTCATCTAATGTACATTGAATTTCACTTGAAACAAATCTAACAGGATTCATTCTCATTTCTGTCATGTTCATGTCCTAAGAATAATTTGCCTAGAAAAGTGCCATAATTGGACTAAGTTTGTTTTACTCCGTGAGAACATGATCAGAGAAAAAAATGAGAATGATTTCGTTGAATTTGAATCTTGTATGTAATGGGCCCCAAAATAAATTAGAAATTGTATACTATTTTGAAAGTGCACTATTTTGGCATGCGGATCTGCAGCGGCCGGCCTGGGGTCGTTGAAGGTTGTGAACAGGATGGGGCGAGAAGCAAACCCGAGCGCAAGTCCGGGTACGATGATGAGCGAGCTTGTGCGGCAGCACAATGCACGAGTGAGGAGCAGAACTAGTGGTTCAGCAGGCGGCGTCACCGCCCAGCTTCCGGCGACAATGAGCACGGGCGTCGTCGTCGGAAACCACGTTGTGCAGGTCAAACTGGGCAGCCGTAAGACAGAACTGAGCCTGGTTCTCGACACCGGCAGCGACGTGACGTGGACTCAATGCCAGCCCTGCGGCCAGGATAGTACCAATTGCTACTCCCAGCGGGAGACGATCTTTGACCCTTCAACTTCGGAATCCTACCAAGACGTCCCTTGTAACTCGTCATCTTGTACCAACGATGTCTTTGAAGCGACGGGGGCGGGCCCGCAATGCCTGAAGTCCACCAAGAACCCGGTGGCCGGCAAGAGCACTTGCACGTACGGTACAGCGTACGCTTCGCCAGATACCTACTCCAGCGGGAATCTGGGGATGGACAACTTGACTTTGACGGCGGGGGCAGGGGCGATCAGAGGCTTCATTTTCGGGTGCGGCCAAGTGAATGGCTTCTCCGGCCGCGATGAAGCCGGAATGATGGGGCTAGGGAGATCCCGGCTCTCCATCGTTTCCCAAACTGCCAAAACTTTCGGGAAGCGTTTCTCGTATTGCCTCCCCACCGAGAGAGGGACCGGCGGACACCTGACCTTCGGGAGTCCGCTGCCCGCGGCAGCGAAGGTCACCCCATTCGCCGTCACTGCACGAAACGGTTACTTCATTGATGTGCTGGACATAAGCGTGAACGGGCAGGCACTGAATATCGGGCCGCAGGTGTTCAACGCCAGCGGAACCATCATAGACTCCGGGGCATCCTTTTCCATGCTACCTCCTGCAGCCTTCGGAGCTCTGAACGACTCCTTCGTGAGACATCTATCTAAGTATCCGAGAGCGAAAGGGGACGGGAAATCGTTCAACACGTGCTTCAACTTCACGGGCTTTCCTGATTATCAATCGATCATCCCCAAGATCAGTTACACGTTCGCTGGACCTGGAAAGGACCCCAGCGTGGTCCATTTGAACCCCAGCGTGGCCATGGTGGCTATCAACCTCAAGGACCCTCTTTCCCAGGTGTGCTTGGCGTTCGGTGCGAATCGACAGAAGACTGATGTGGGCGTATTCGGCAACTGGCAGCAGCAGAGTCTGGAGGTGTTCTACGATGTTGCCGGTGGGAAATTGGGATTCATCGAGGCAAAGTGTACTTAGTTAAGTACAGATCTATCTATCTATCTATATACAGTATATTAAAGCGCCGTTTGTAAGGCTTGTGGTGGCTTCCATTCGTCATGAATCCTGCTTATTTATGCTTGTTGCACTGCTTCTTCTGTTGTCAAGTTTTGTTTTAATTTGTCTTACATACGAATATACAACAACTACTACTTACACTTGTTCCTCGGGCATTGCACGGGTGTAGCTCTTTATGTTCCTCGGGTACAAATATTTTGTGGTACATGCCGACTATTTAATTTCAAATTAACTTGCACTTAAATCATAATTACATAAAGAAACAAGTTGTAATGTACAAAGAACTTTTTAATACAAAATCTCATCAACCATTATTGTAGATATGGTTGTATTGTTGCCACATATCGTGAACTTAATCCAAAAATGTGATCAAGTATATTAAGTAGGAAAAATTGAATTTAATAATCTCAACTATATGCAGTCTGTTTTTAATAATCCCAATTACGATTATTTCTAGGCGGTCCGAATTTATGGGGGCTTTTTACATTAATAGACCGCATGACTACTTACCGGCTAAGCAAGTTAAAAAAGACTTCTAAAATTAGAAGTCTCTCTCCCAAATTGTAAACGACCGAAGAAGTTGAATGGTATTGAACGTTCGTTCCCTCCACTTTTGCTATTCTTCACTTTTTCCTTCACTGTACACACCTTGAATTTTGAAATAGCACATGTAATATGGTGTTGTAAAGGACCGCAATCTCTGCTTTCTTCTTGTCCGAACCAGTCACTCACCATCTTAAGTAGGGATGGACTCGGGTCCGGGCCGGGTCTGGGTCGGGCCTAGGACCAGGCGGGCCGGCGGTTCAAGAATATTGGACCCGGGACCGGCCCGGGTAGCCACCGGGTCCGGTCCGGGCCGGGCCAGGCCTCCGGTTTGGATTTTTTTTTTTGCTTTCCTAACCCCCCTCACCCCCCACCCCCCAAAACCCATCCTACCCATCAAGCCCAACCCAGGTGGAACCCCAAAAATGAAAAAAATAAAAAAAAATCAATTTGGCCCGGGCCCGGGCCCGACCCGGCCGGGCCGGTTCACCAAAATTGAGACCCGAGCCCGGACCCGCCCTACCCCCCGGGCCTAGGCCCGACCCGGACCCGGACCCGAGAACCGGGCCGTTCCCGGTCCCGCACAGTAGCGGGCCGGGCCGGTCCACGGGCCGGGTGGCCCGACCCGAGTCCAACCATAATCTTAAGAGGTTGAAGTGCGTAAAGTGAAGGTTCTCAAAGCTTGAATGCCATAATCTAGTTAATTTTTTTTATAGTTTTTGGTTTTACATGTAATTCAAAATGCAAAATTAGGGTCTATTTATAGACAATTAACTTCTTGAGTGGTGTTTATGTCGAAAATTGAGTTACTTTATAATTGAACTGATTATTAGTAGAATGCATGATAGATAGAAAGGCAGATGTACACATCTGTACAACATGATTATTTACTAGAATTTAAAGGTCATGAGTTACCTGATCATTTTCAAGTAAAAGCTCTATAATCCAAGTGTGTTCTCACTATCTTCTAATGGCACAATCTACATACAAATGACATGAACAACAATTGTTTAATTCCTACACATAGTTATTACGTGAATAGCAAACAGATGCTTGATTGGAGCTGATGTTAGTTGCTAAGTTTGGGACATGCAAACGGGAAGGTCAGGCAGGCCGGTAACGATGATGAGTGAGCTTCTTCGGGCCCAAAAGGCATGACTCAACGCCTCCGGCGACCGCCTTCTTGCGATTGTCAACACCTCACCCCTTTACAGCATCAGAACCCCACCATGCAGGTTATACTTGGGAGCAACAAAACTAACCTGATCCTTGTCCTCGACACTGACAACCACCTCATGTGGACTCAATGCTAACCATGCATAGAGGATGAAGAGGGTATAAGTCAATGCTACAGCCAGTCGGGACCCATATATGATCCTTTTAATCGTCATATTCTTATTGGTTAATTCATTGTTTACATATAAGTTCTTGCAGAAGTATTCGTAATTAATGTATGTTAAGTAGGCACTATATGTTAATAGGGGATTTGTTTACGCAAGCAAAAAACGTTTTATTCCTATTATGTGTGATATTGAAAATATTTCATGCCGCGACAGACGCAATACACATCGCAACGGCAACATCGACCGCATTCGCAGTTACCGCGACCACAATTTTAAACCATGGGTGGTATTGTGGCACCACAGGGCCATAATGGTGCCGGTCAGCCTTGATCGGACATCCAGAGTGTGTTTGGGTTTTCGCGCGAATGAGAATGACAATGTGACGGGAGTGTTTAGAAACTTGCAGCAAGAGACTTTGGGATGTTCTACGATCTTGAGGGAGGGAGACTCACATTTAGCCAATATTCATGTACTTTCAGGGACTGGGAATAGTAATTGAGTTATCTCCTGTATTCCAAATTCGATTAAAAAAATGACTATTATCACATTTATACCCTTCAATGACAGTGACTAACTTTCAGTGACACGATAGTGTATCTGAGTTATTTCACGTATTCCAGTGATCACACACCCCAATGACTCTGGTACATAGTTACATGTTTTACAGTTATAGTGACATTTATTGATTTATACCGTTAGTAACACTACCATGCCATGGCCAATGCCGCCCCTGCCCCTCCCAATGCCGCCCATGCCCAGCCCACTTCCCCCACCACTACCGCCCACTTGTCCCGCCGCCGTCCAAAGCTACAGTTACATTTCTAGTCCAATGATCCTATAATACTTCTAAACTACTTGCATTGAGTTTAGTATATATGTACATAATGTATATTGTAGCATAATCTAATTATGTAATTTCAGTTAGATTTCTGGCAATTATTTTGCTTTACGAGAAATGATATATACTACGTACACCAATATAATGCATGTGTTTATTTTATTGATGATGAGTTCGTTTCTTCTGAAAATAGGGAATGAAATTTAGTTGTCATCATCCCATCTTCAATGTTATAATGTGCATGGTGCACATATGGCATGAGAGATAGCCACATAAATATTAGTAAATAAATTATCTCTCTCCTTATTTGAATAGTTTTATACGATTTTTGGTAAGTTTTTCTCCACAATGTCAAGAAAACCGTCTAGATGTAGACATTGTGGTTTACATTGTGGAGCAAAACTTACCGAAATTGTATAAAATCATTTGAATAAGGAGGGAGATAATTTACTTACTAATATTTATGTGGATATCTTTCATGTCACATGTGCACCTTTGACATTGTACCATTAGAGATGCTAAATTTATACTACCTCCGTCCCTTAAAACTTTGCCAAAGTTGACCGGCACGGAGAATAATAAAGTAAAAACTGTGTGGTTGAGGTTTGTGTAGAGGAGAGAGAAATAATAGAAACCACAAAATAATTGATTAAAAGGGAAAGTGACAAAGTTTTTTGGGACATCACAAAAAGGAAATATGGCAAAGTTTTAAGGGACGGAGGGAGTATTGTTTTTCGATTGACGAAAAAAGTTGTATGTAAACTAAAATCTTCTTGGAATTAAGGAAAATAATATTGGGCGGATGGGGCGGGATTTAATTTTCTCCTCTCATCAATAAATACATATAGGATACTTAGTAAAATGAAACCTTCTATATATTACTCATATGGGATATCATTTTAAATATTGCTTCTAATATAAGTACATTGTTAATAATTTTCATTCAAAATCAAATTCATTTTGCTCAGTGATATAAAGAAGTCTTCAAAGTTAAAAGTCTATACTTTCAACTAATAATTATTCTATTTGGTGCTTTAATATTTCAATGGTTAAAAGATTTATCCGCTCAACAAGGTTGACAATACCAAACAACTTTCTTGAAAAAAATTAAAAAAAAAAGGCGTAAATCATGAGAAGTTTTAAAGATATCTTAGTGTCATCCGCGTTCTCCATACACACAAGAATACCAAAAAGTCATACGACTTTTTTTACAGCTTTCCTCTCTGTCCATAGCCCCAACATAAATAATCTGGTTTAACCTTGACTTTGAAGATTTCACATGAAAGTTATTCTCTCTCTATTTACCTTCTTCAAGAGCACCGACCTCAATCATTGTGACCCATATTAAATTTCATGTTATTAGACTCTCTCTCTCATCTTATACAAACTCCCTTTCTCCAAGTATGTTGTCTGTCCTTAGTAAAAACCCTTCCAAATGCACATTTGTATATTTGCAAACTTTTTATGTACAGTGATACACTTTTAATTTGTCACCACATTTTTATTAAATGTTATTGGTCTAGAGAGATCAAATAATTTAATGATAACAACATTGATTAAAGGAGCTACATTCTAAATGTATATATATCTAATAATAGTCAGCCTAGCCCTAATTGATCGAGAATGAGAAACTACATAACACTCTTATTCTTATTCTTATTTTCGTTCTTATGGTAAAAAATAAGAAGTTTATTTCATAAAAGACCGCCTCCAAACAGGATTGTAGGTGTCGGTGACTCGAGCTTGAGCCAAAACTTGACAAGAATATGATCCTCAAGTGGCGGAAATATGCTAGAATAAGAGAGTACGACTATAATCCTTCACTACAAAAACTAAAGAAATTAATTAGCATGAATTTGGTTCGGATCTTCGTTAAGAATTTGGCTGGGGAATTCCGTTCCAAAACGTATTTGGTAGGTATTTTGACACCGATTTGACATGCATTTGCGGTTTCCGGCCAAATCCATGATAAAAAACAGGCCACAATTCACTACAAAAATTACGGGAATGATGGGGATTAACCGATGATTTCGTTTCAAATATCTCGTCCCAAAGTTTTTTTGACACATATTTGGCATATCTCTACCAAATCTTCAATGAATTTGGCGAATCCCTACCAAATTTTTACCAAGACGCTAAACAAGGTTGTTTTCGTGTTTGTTTAGAAATTACATATTACGAGTGAGTGTAGCTCGAATGTAGATAGAAAGTGCCACAAGGGATGAGTCTCTAATTTGAACCCTGCAGACAACTGTGATGAGAGATTACTATGTAAAAATGTATAACGCCTCTGCAAGTATCAGAGCCAGAGCCCCACTCACTATCTGTCAACTTGTGATTCAAAAGGATTTTAATGGAGTTTAGAATTATCTCAGAATTTAGGTGTCCTTGATTTGGATTCTGTGGAATCCATAAAAATAAGGGTGTTCTCAAACATTTCATGAATTTCTATTATTAT